TTTTTCAACTGAATTGTAGTCATATCCCTAAAGATAAGTAATTAACCTTGTCCTCAATAAGGAAACTTGACTTTTTGGTGTACGGACGAGGGGGTATTTGCTTGGCATGGTGGATCCATGGTCCGACCCAAAAAAGTAAGATTAAAAGCTGGTCGGTACATCCAATTACCTGGAATGGGAACTTCCAATCACAGCTGGCCCGACTGTCAATTTTAACGCATAGCAACCCCCAATAACTTCCTTCGGTACTTATCCATAGGGCCTTTCACTATCTGGTCACGATGGAAAATGAAATCTTGTCTCTTCTAAACCCGCAAACAGTCTTGGCATACCCTTAGTGGGCAGACGTTCAATGCTGACCCATTGTCAAGAGAACCCATGGTATCAGTTTTGGTCTTCTAGTCTGAAATGGTGACATAAAGAAGCATTGTTGTGACTGCTTCCCTCGCTTAGGTAAGTCATCATCAGAGAACCGATGCTGTTGCAATTTTAGATGATTGAGTGAGGGTGGACACTAGCATTCAAGGGCTAACCTCTACCGATGGTCTGAAGTTGGCCAAAGGCCTTGCAAAGAGCTTGGACGATGCAGGAAAAGATGATGCAAAAGTTCCCAGATGACACCTTAGCTTGTGTCTTTTTTAATTGTGATAGGACCGGATCCCTCTTCTCCTCTGTTCTTTGTAGGGATATTTGGAATTATTGTCCAAGACTAAAGGTTCATACTGTCTCCGCTTCTGGTTATAGCATCGACCGTCCTCAGATAGGTCAATTCAGATCTAGGACATCAGATTTCAACTTCATTTCCAAGAATAGCTCGAAAGATGATCAATTCTTGGTCAAGAAACATAGCATTTAACCCCGTGATTTGGTAAAGGGTATTGCTAATGTTTGGTTTGCTTCGTTGGAATAAATCGAAACCCATTATCCACTAGTCCTGGATGCGATTTTTGAGGGTCCAAACATGCTCGTCTTGTGCCAGCATCCCGATGAATACTCACAATTTCATCGCTTTGTAATTCCTTGGTAAGTGGGGTTGGGTGGTGGTCTTGCTTCCAAAGGTTTGATATAGTTTGCTTTAACAGCCTCTCGGAATAACAAAAGGATTGGCATTCCGAGAATCAGTGTAGGTTCTTCTTGACTGACGCCAGCTCTCATATTTCCCCACACGTAGAGGAATTTGTGGGAGTAATGCTTGCCACTCGTGGACTTTGCTAACTTGACTAGGTTTTTGTATTTTGAGGCCCCCGATTCTTCTTTTAGTTGCCCCATTTGAAGTAAATCCTCCAACCTCGTAGAGCAAGTGGCAAATGAGGCGACTGGAAGATGGTAGATATTGAGTCCTATAACTGTATTTGTTGATAGACAGGCAACAAGTTTTTTTAAGATTATGTCCACTCTGTTCTTGTTCTGAAGTCGATTGAATCATTTGGGCGGCCCTTGGCCCCTCCACCTCGTAAGGAACGAGGAAAAGGGTTCATTGTTTCTTTTGTTTGGTAGTTTTAGTTCTCTTTCGAGTACATCAACTTCTATATTATAGTGATACGAGAATTAAAAGCCATTTGCAGCGAACCACCTCCCAGGTTTTCATCTTAGAGCGGTCCAAACGACAAACCATCTCAAAGCAGCACCAGTCAGTGGATTGTGGAACAACTGAGCAAGAGCCGCTTCTTGAATTCCAAAATGGGGATAAGGGCGCCCCACATACATTTTCAAGTGTGTTTTGGAATAGGTGGTTCCATCAAAACTTGTCCATGTTTGGCAATTTTGAACTTAGTAGGACAATCTTGCTTCGGGGAAACAAGGACAAAGAGTCCATGTCCACCAACCTCTCCTTGTGGTCTTTAAGAGCAGTACAGACCTTTCTAGCAATTCTAGTTTTTCCTCATTCCTTATGAGCTTCCAGCTCAGAAGTAGTTTTGGAGGTATTTCATCCAAGTTAGGGTTTGAAGACGTAGGCGCAGAGCCAGGTCCCTTGGTTGGGCAAAGCAGGACCACTCCCCCCAAGCGGAAAGCCCCACTTCCATTACCACCACTTAATTCAGCTAATAGGGCGCGGTTCTTTGGTCCAGCAACTCATGATCATCTAGCCTGTAATTCTGGCTTCCATTGTTCCATGAGAGTTTGGGAATGTCAGCTAGTGATGCCATCGGGGTAGTTGAGGCTGTGAAGCCACTGTAGGTGGGTCTGGTACTATTGGGTTGATTGGCACAGAGGGTACCTGTAAGTGTAAAGGGTAATCGCTTAGGGTTATAGTGGGCGGTATTGGGTGTAGAATAACTGATATGAGGTAGACCGACTTTTGGTCCAACTGTGCAATGACTGACAAACAGCGAAGGGAATTTTTGTGTCCCTCCACCTCTTCTCTCTCTTTTTTTTTTTTTTTTTAATGCTTATGGTATGTCGTGAAATGCGCACAGACAACAACACGTCAAATTAAGTTTTAATGAGATGACTCATAACCCATTGGTGTGCAATAGTCCACTAAAAGGATAAGTTCTATAGGCCCTATGACACAAATAGAGAATCGGCTTATTAAGGGGGACCCTATGAACCTTGAGCATCCGGATATACCTAACCACAATGTGAAACTAAAGAGTTTCGCGTTTGGGTTCCAATCGGTACGCAAATACTCATTGCCACCCCAAAATGTGTATTAGTGGTATGGTTACGGTAACAGGGAAGGACGCTTTTTGGCTGTCCGTCCGGCACTAATCAAAGAGACCTGCCGATCAGCGCTACTTGCTATCCAGACTCACGAAAGTTTGAACAGAAAAGAGAAAGAAATTCATTTGAAGTTCATTTTTTTATGCAATGGAGAAAAAAGGATCTGCAATCGTGCAAATAAATCAACAAGTTTTAAATGTCCTTAATCACATTTTTCAATTAAGTCCCGGATTTATCAAAGTATTCTTAAGGAAAGAACACTTGAATATCGTATTAAGGGTACCCTGCAAAACAAAAATATGGATGCCTTAAAGAAAAGGCCCGGTTAGTTTTCCAAACAACAATTGTAGTACCACTTCTTTATGGCAAATATTACATAAATCCCCAGTGAAGTCGCCAAACTGTGAACCCCTTCCCCAAATGTCAATAGGCATGTGATGCCATATGATGAATGGAGAAAATGCACGTGAGTTGTGTGAGTCGCCACCTTGTTTATTATTTTAGGGTAAACTAGGAAAGAAAAACCCTAAGTGACTCCAAATTTTTAATTAACCTGTTACTATAGATTAATTATCCCATGTTTTAAGGCACAGTCTGCGAAACCCGAGAATGATCCCGAGACTATGTCATGCCTGATGAACTAAACCGATGGATGAAATGCTTTGCAAAGGTGAATGATGTATCGGTACCAAAATGAAAAGTTTATGTGATTTGGACTTGCCCGCCCGGAGTGAAATCCGACGTGCTACGTACTCCCGTTTGAATGGAAGATCAAAGTCAACGTAGTTCGATAGGCCTTCTTTGAAGGGCTGAAGGGTATGCTTTAAATGCATGAGTGTGGTATGCTTTGTGCAATGAGTGTGGTAATGCTTTGTGCATGAGTGTGTATGCTTTGTGCAATGAGTTGGTGTGTATGCCTTTGTGCATTTTTTGTTTAGGCATTTTTTGCTAAGATTGATATGATTAGGCGTTTTATCGCCAAAAGTATTCAATTTTGAGGCTTTTAGCAAAAGAGTTGATTTGGGCTATTCTGCCAAAAATTTGCACATTCAGACTATTATCGCCGAATGTGATTGGTTGGGCTTAATTACTGCCAACAATGTCGTTTTTTTAAAGGCTTTTTAGCTGAAACGAGTTGATTTAGACAAATCAGTTTGCCAAAAAAATGTGTTGATGTGGTTTAAGCAATTTGTTTGCTAAAAACGTGTTTTAGGCGATTGTCCCAAAATGATGTGTTTTAAGGCTTTTAGCCAAAATTGTTTGATTTTAAGGCTTGAGCCAAAATGTGTTGAGTTAGGCAATTTATTTGCCAAAAGGTGTGGATTTGGCGATTGTCGCCAAATGGTTGATTTTTGAAGGCCTTTGGCCAAAAATTGTCCCGGTTTTTTAACGCTTTGATCCGAAAATGGTTGATTTTGAGGCGTTTGCGCCGAAATTGTCGTATTTTTTAGGAAAGGCCATTTAGCCGAAAAAGATTGATTTCTAAGGCGTTTTGTCAAAATGGTTTCGATTCTACGACTTTTAGTCGAAAAGATGATTTTTAAGGCGTTTCGCCAAATGTTCGATTCTACGACTTTTCAGTCGAAAAAGATTGATTTTAAAGTCGTTTCCCCAAAATGGTTCGATTTACGACTTTTTAGCCGAACAAGGTTTGAATTTGTAGGCAATTTTGCCAAAAATGTTGATTCAGACCCTTTAGTCACAATTAATTGATTAATTGGCTTAAGCGTTTGGTTCGAAAAGGCAGTTTTTGAACCGTAGTTATTTTAAATTAACTAATCTCTTTCAGCCCAATATTGTCGGATTTAGCTTTTAAAGTGCACCACGGTTATTAATTAACCGGACGTTTAAACTTAATCCTATTTATTTAAGAGTTTATTTTGTCTAAATGAATGATGTGAAATGCATTTAATGCAATTATAGAATTATTAAGAGTAGAAAAGAAAGTTATGCATGAAGTGCTAAAAATAAATAGGCAGCAGTTTCGTTACGTACCTTATTTAATCGAACAACCGCTTCTTAACTCCAGATTAAGCTCCTCGCTTGAGGAAATATTAATTAATTTTAATTTGTTTAATTTTAAATGTCCAATATCAACAAATAAAAATGCAATAAAAATTAAATTAACATGCAAAAGGGATAAGAAAACGCAAGAGCGTGAGAGGGAGAAGGATTCGTCCGTCAAAAACAGACAAAGGCGCACCAGAAATAGGCTGAAAAAAAAAAAAAAAAGAATGGCCTATTATAGGCATTTCGTGTTTTTTTGTTTTCTTCTTGTTGTTTTTTTTTTCTTTGTCCCCGGGCGGCAAGGTGCCGGCCAAGGGGCTGGGCGGTAGATGCCGCCTGGCTCGGCGGCTGGTGCCGCCGGAAGGGCGGCAGCTGCCGCCTGTCGGTGGGGCGGTCATGCCCCGCCTCAATCGCTGGGCCGGGGGTGCCGCCTGGGAGCGCAGCAGGCTGCGCCCAGTCGGTGGGGCGGCAAGGCCCCAGCCCGGATCTGGGCGGCAGGTGTCCGCCCGAGCTGGGCGGCAGGTGGCGCCCAGGGGTGGGGCCAGGCCCGCCTGCGCGGCGACCAGGCCCGCGCCGCCCTGGCGGGCAGGCCTCGCCGCGCGCGCTGGGCGGCAGCTGCCGCGCCGGGCGGCAGGCCCCGCCCGCACCGGCCGGGCGGCAGGCCTTCGCCGCCCGCCGGGCGCAGGCCCTCGCCCAGGCAGTGGGGCGGCAGGATGCCGCCATTCCCGGCGGCCGGCTTCCGCCCGTGGCCTGCGGCAAGGCGCCGCCGTGCCCGGCGGCCGGCGCCGCCTGTGGCCCGGTGGTGGACACCGTGCCTGCTCGGGGGCATTTTTGGGGAAGTTCCGGACCGTCCGAAAAAATATTCGGGACCTGTTCCGCGATCCTCGCCTGATTCCGGACGTTTTAAGATACATATTGACTAGTTTGGTGAACTTTTTCCGAAATAGCCTCCGGTCCATTGCCGGACATTACAGTCCGGGAAAAACAGGCTTTCTGAACAGCCTAAAATTTGGGTAAATTACAACAACATAGGCCAAACAGTAAAAGCTTTAAAGCATTGATAACCTAAGCACGTGGTGCTTGCTTAATAACCCCATAACAGTTGGCTTTAACCAACTTACAAACATGTGTGGGTTTTTTTGGATCTTTAAAAACTGGTGGGCTGCTTGCATATAAACATCTTCTTGTCAAAGACCATGTAAAAAAATGCTTATCACGTCCAGTTGAACAATTGGCCAAGCTTAAGTAATGCTTAGAGTAAGCACCAAACCAAATTGTCCACTGGTTTTTGACAACTTGGACTAAAGTATCACTGTAATCAACACCAGGTCGCGATAATAAACCCCGAGCAACCTAGTCTTGCTTTGTATCTCTGCATAGATCCATCGACATTTTTCTTCACCTTGAAAATCCATTTTACACTGACCAGTATTATAAGCAGAATCAATATGGAACAAGCACCCAAGTAATTAATATCAAGTAATGATTAAACTCTGATGTTCCATTGCCTGTCGCCAATCAGGAATAGCTAAGGCTGTTTTAAGTAAACTAGGTTCTTGGTAAGTGAAGTAAAAGGACTTGGGTAACTGAATTTACAAACTTTCAACTTGAAAATATATTTTGGAACGTGTGACCATAGCGATGAAAGATTAACAGGTGTTAGGGAAAATGACTGTTATGTCGACACTAGGAGGACATAGAACTCAATCGGTGGTTGGACTAAAGAAAACAGGAGCAGTAGAATTGAAATAGACCTCATCACAGAAATTCGACGAAAAGAAAAGGAATTAAATAGAAGTAAGCTGGTTCAGTAGCAAAAATCATACCAACTAGTCTCAGACAAGATCTGTAGCCCAAATTTTTGTCAGAAAAGGGAAACTTATTTTCAAACAAACTCAACATGTCGAGACCTCAAAAAATTTTCCCAGATTCAATATGACAAACAGCGATAAGCACTTTTGTTTGGTGATTCCTAAAAGATACAAGGAGTGAATTGATTATCCAAACTTTATTTTTATGTATCGGTGGTTCCTGAGACATGGATAACAAAGACATCCAAATACTCGTAAAGAGGTTATAATTAGGATTTTTGACCAACCAAATTTTTCATAGGGGAGAGACTAGTTTAAGAAGATATGTACGGTAACCGATTTATTAAGTAAGCTGCAGTATGAAAAAGCAAAACTCCCAAAAACTCATGGGTAAAGAGGTTGTTTGTAAACAGAAGTAGAGCCCCTGTTTCAACCTAAATGGCGATGACAAACATTCAGCCCCGCACCATTATGTGAGGTGTGTGGAGGAGGAGTTTGCAAAGTGATTGATTCCCTGTTGTTGGAAAAATATTTTTAAGAGCAACATACTCCCCCCCCCCCATCAGAATAAATTAGTTTGAATTTTGGAGTTTAAAGGTGTTTTCTAACACAAGCTTTTGAAGATTGGAAAAATTTTTGATAACCTGAGAATTTTGTTTTTAATGGATACAGCGCATATATTTTTGGTGAAGTGATCAAACAAAAATATTAATTATCAAAATTCATCCAAAGAAATGTTTCCTTGGTGCAGGTCCCCAATAATCAAGTATAAACAAGTGTCTAATGGTTTGCTACTAACACAAAGAAGATAATCCAAAAAGGTACCTAATTGACTTTATTACAAACGACCAAGGAATCACAGACATTAATCCTTAATAACAAGTCATAGGAAATATTAAGTTTAGAACAAACAGATGAAGAATTTTCAACTTTGGTGCCAAGCCGTTGATGCCAAATGACACAGAAGGATAACCGAACATGAAATGACTTATCAAAAGAGCCCCATATTGCGAATCTTATAAAGACTGATCAAGGTTGCCTTTGTATAGGATCTCCCCCGTGACCTGATCTTAATAAAAATAAAAAATGAGGAAAATTCATATGGCAACTTGGTTAGAATCACAGAAATTGAGGAACAAAAATAAGATTAAGATTTTGCTTTGGGCACATATTAAGACATTTGAAGAAGTCACTTTTTCGATGGTAAGGACACAATACCAGAAGACAGT